GCATGTGTGAATGTGTGCTCCATAACAAAGAATGGTTAGTTTAATATTTGTTGCTTAGTGGATTGGGAATTTTTCTGCAAGGCCAATGCCATCAAATTAGTGCTGCATTTCAGAGTATTTGTCACAACTGCTAAGCTTAATTATTCTCCCTTCTTCTGGTGACAGCTGGGGCAAGCCATTCTTCCCGTTAAGGAAGACTTTATTATTGTAAACCTGCAATTCAAGTGTACGAAGTGCGAAAAAGTAATATCTGGAGTTAGGTGGCACTGTAACCAATGCAAAAGTTTTGAACTATGCACAAGGTAGTCTCTCCCCTATTTTTTTTTTTGAAATTTAAGCATATGATTTCCATTAAAATGAGACAAAACTGCAATAAGGTAGTCTCTCCCCTATTACTGTTTACCAAAATAAGATTTTCAATGTGTATGAAACCAAAATTTGTTCTGGCCTTTTCAAGGTACATAGTTGCAATTTTTTTTAATATAGTAGTTGCACATTCTAAATCTCTCTTACTTATTTTCCGAGTAACATATTTAAAGGTGATATCAAGATATGCATAACTGAACAAATAAGTTGGCAGTACTGGGATGACATGTTTACAATTTCAAACATTTTTAAACCACAGACGATCTCATAAACCATAGATTTTATTGTTTATTATTATTGTTAGTATAATTATTATTATTATCATTATTTAGTGGGTAGTTTTTGTATTATGGGCAAATGTTAGCTAAGGGCGAGTTATTGATTTGTGAAGTAGTGAGTGTTATATTCTATATACATGCATATTTGTCTTATTGTGCAATGAGAAAATATTTGGACATTAAAAAGATTCTTGACTATTTTTAATCAACTAAAGATTGACTTTTTATTGGTCTTCATCAAGGAGGAAGCGGTCCAGCTCAACTGGTCACCGATTCACTCTCCCATATGGGAGGTCTTGGGTTCGAAACTCCATGGAGGCAGTTTCAGCCCTGTTTAGTGTTTACCCCAGGTCCCCCTAGCCCCCTCCCCCACCCCCCGGGGTAAAAAAAAATTACTGGTCTTCATCAAGTTATTAATTACTACTTTTCCTCAAAAACATTGTTAACAATAAATCAATCTTTAATACTGCAGTTGTGTTCTTAAGAATCAAGACATCAATGGGCAGAAGGAACACACTTCCTCTACTGGGGAGAAACATTTTCTTACACAGGTGAGTCTCCTAGAAATATGTTTGATGTCCTCTTGACATGAATGGCTATCATTTAATTTATGTTTTTTATAAAATTATATTACCATGTGTTGAAATATTTTATGTTTCTTAGACCTCTGCGGATGCCATACCTGCTGACACTGAAGATAATGATGCCATTATAGATAATGATTTCTTTGAGCACAGGCACTCTTTCTTGTGCTTCTGTCAAGAAAACCATTATCAGTTTGAATCTCTCCGGCGTGCTAAGCACTCGTCAATGATGATATTGTACCATCTCTACAAAAGTATACATTGTTTATCTAGTGAAGGTTCTGATTCCCATCGTCAACAAGCTGGCTTGCAGGTAGAGATCCATATTCTCGTTCCTTGCATAATTTAGTTAAAAGTTGAACTGCTTAGCGGTCCTCAATTATTCCTTTTATTGCTAGTTCTTTGGCAAATAGTTTAGGGAATGAAAGTTTTCTATGTTAATCATTGCCATTATACATTGTTGTAGCTTTTGAATATTCCAAAAAGAGCAACAGTTAACTTTTCTGACCACACTATGCTGTATAAAAAGACTCAATCTACTAGGTCTGTAGTGTAGGGAACATCATTTACTTGTAATTAATAGGGATTTGGCTGGATGTAAGCAAATGGAATATGGTTTTATAAGGCGCTTGAGAGACAGGCATTCCATTAGGCTGCAGTGTAGGGAACAACATTTACTTGTAATTAATAGGGGTTTGACTGGATGTAAGTAAGGGGAATCATGGTTTTATAAGGCGCTTAAGAGGCTTGCCTCATACTGAATGAGAAATTCCATTTAGGAACTTCTAAGCACTTTTAGGTGCCTCAAAGTGCTTTTTGGTACTATAGACTACTCCCTCCGCCCCGAATTGAATTGCAAACTTTGACCGGCACAAGGATTAAGAAATGACAATAAATGATGCTTGCTTTTTACACTTTTGCCCATCTTTCTAAAAGTACATGTCTTTAAGTTAATGAAGAAAAAGTAAAAGTAAGGGTAAATTTGTCACTTTATTCTTATTTGCATACCTAAAATAGAAAGTGGAAAACCATTTTGGGACAACCAAAAAAGGAAATTTTGCAAATCAAATTGGGACGGAGGGAGTATAACTTAATAAGGACAAGGGTCTATATTTCGTCTGAAAGCCCTAAAATGAAACCCCTTTTCCAAATGTATTACTGTTCTCTCCTTTCACCACAGCTCCAGCTGTTTTTTCCTTTTATTTGAACAATAACAATAGAAATGATATAACTTCTTCATATTTTTCTTTTTATTCGAATTGCAAGCCATCTCTTCTTTGTTCTTCACTTCTTCTCATACTTGCAACTTTTTCTGATTTGATCAAGTATGATTAATCTTAAAAAATTTTCTTTAAGGAGTCAAACTTGATATATGACTCAGTTTTATGGTTGATAATACATCTAACATTACTAGTAATTTTGGACTGTCAGGGAAGTTTGGCATAAGTTTGAGGCACTGCCTCAAACCTCCTTGAAATATTAGTTTACGCCTCACCTAGTAAATGCAAAATGTCTTAAGGCTTCAAATGGCCTTTTTAAATGTTGAACAGATTTTGTTGGGGCCTAAGCAGGATAAAACCTAATCACCTGGGAGATCATAGCTCTTAGGTGTGGGAATAAACAGGCCAGGCAGGGTTGTTACAATAATGCCACCATATGGAAAATACTACCTCCTTTAAGGGCCCTTTTTATGGGAACATTTTGGAGGATAAAGTCTTGTATGTTAACATGCTTTTGATAATTTTATAAAGAATGATGTAACAGGATGATAGATTAATAATAGGTGGATCATATAATAATCCAACACCTTTTGAATTTTCAGACATTCTAGTCCAAAAATACAGAATAAGGAACCCTAGTTTGGGGGGTGTTGAATGATATGTCCACACATGTGAAATAAGAAACAAACATATATGCTTAGATTACTCTTTCAATCCGATTGACCTTTTTGTCTGATCTCTTTCTAAGTGTAATGACTAATTTGACAATTCAGATCCAATTACTGGATTTAGTAGTCCATGCATCACGGTGCCGTGCCACCAAGAGTGACCCATGTCTATTTCCAGACTGCAATAAAATCAGGCAGATTTTCCATCACGCGCATGGATGTACCATTCGTATATCTGGAGGTTGTAACATTTGTAACAAAATATGGTTGCTTCTACGTATGCATGCACGAAAGTGTGAAGATTCAAGCTGTTTAGTTCCGCGTTGCAGGTACATCTTACATCTTTTTCTGTCCTTCATTTAACCTAATATAGAAAAATAAATTTTGTTTTCCTTCTGCATTTTTCTTCCTTCTTGGTTGGAATAATGTATTAGAAACAAAAATAACTGTAAATAGAAGCAATCAAATTTATTTTCCCTCAGATACACTTTATTTTCCTTATTTTCCACAATCTGAAAAGGTAAAATAGGTATAATTCCAATATTCTATTCTTATTTTCATTTTTCGTTTTTCTTTCCATTCGAACTTGATGTTAAATTTGAAAACATCCCCAAAGAACTGGAAATCATTTCTTTCGAGACCTGGTTTGTAATTTTGAGAACACGTAGAAATAGGAACCAGCCCCAAATGGCAACTGAAATGTTGAAGGAATTAAAAACCTTTTCCGGGATGTGTGCAGGGATCTTAAGAGGCATGCAGAAAAGAATGCATTGCAATCCAATGTTCGTCAAAGACAAACGGTGGAAGGTAGAGAGTCAGCCTGCTAAAGAAGTTTTGATGACTCTTCCCAAGTGTATTGTGTATTTGTGTATATCAAGAAATTGTTAGATGTTCTTCAACAAATGTACAGTGGAACAGTGTCCTCAGCAAGCAATCGGTTGGAGCTGACATGCAAAAAAGTTTTGTGGATGTTTTTCCTTTAGGTTGGGGTATATAAAACAATGGGAAACTACGCCATTGGCTTCAGCTTGGCTGAAGATTATGATAGTTTAGGAAGTTAGGTCTTAGGAGGCCAACATAATTTAGTTAGAGGATATTGTCATTTAGATAGATTAAATATATCAAGTTTTTATTTATTATAGCTGTCAAAATACTTATATATCTCACTTGTGTATATTTAGTTTGATGAAATCTTAACTTGTAGGATTTCATTCGGAATAAATGGTTATACTCATATTTGAATGAGTCTTACAACTCCAGCTAAAATCAATGGAATCAAAACTAATCATTTCCCTCACCTAGTTTCAACTTTCAAGGTTGTTATGTATGTTAAATTTTCTCATAACGATAAATATCACGTTATATAGTTCAATATAGGGTTGGACTCGGGCCGGGTCGGGCCCGGGCCGGCGGTTCTATATAGCTGGACCCGGGACCGGCCCGGGTAGCCACCGGGTCCGGTCCGGGCCTCGGGTTTGGTTGATTTTTTATTTTTATTTTGCTTAGCTACCCATCCCTCACCCCCCCACCCCCCAAACACCTCCTAAACATCAAACCCAACCCGGTGGAGCCCAAACAAATGAAAAAAACCAAAAAAAAAAAAAAAAATTGGCCCGAACCGGGCCCGGCCCGGCCCGGCCCTTGTTATGGGTGACCCGAGCCCGGACTGGAAACCCACCGGGTCGGGCCTACCCGGACCGGTCACTGACCGGGCCACCGGTTCGGGCCGGGCCGGAACAGTACCGGTCCCGGGCCGGTTCCGGGTCGGGCCACCCGGCCCGAGTCCAACCCTAGTTCAATATATATAGGCTACGTTTGATTGTTGGGTGATCTGGGTTTGTTATTTGTTTCTTATTTTGTAAATTAGTACAATGACAAGATAAAAAATCAGCAGATACAACTTCAGTGAAATAACACTTGCCAAACAGGCCCCTACATTTCAATTGTGGCAACTATTCCCAAATGTAAAAAATCAAAGGCTCAGTCTCACAATGATTGCCCGTAAACTAGAGAATTATCAACAGCAATTCATGCATGCTAAATGCTTCAAATGTAGGAATCCCTAACAATCACCTAATTATAAGTAACACAAACAATGGGGCACAATTACATCAAGGCACCTGAATCAATTGTGATTAACTACAACAAAATACACACTACTACCACCATATCAAAGACCTCCTAAGGCAGAAAGGATATAGCAACCAACTCTCCCCTCTTTGGTACATAATGAATCCGACACATCCTAAATGCAACGAATGTCAAAGGTGAATACATCAGCTTCTTGTTATCATGTGGTGATGAAAGTCCATATCTTCTTCCCTATAGACACTTCACCAGGATGATCCTCAGCCTCTTCGTCCTCATCGCCCTCATTGTCGTCATCTCTTCTCCCATCTTCATCAGTTTTGTACCCCCACTGGTCATCATCATCATACTCCTTGGGAACTTCGGGTGATTCGTTCACCTCTTCAGTGAAACCGGTATCAATTAGAGTATTTGCCATCTCAGCACTGCTGCCCTGATTATCTGCTTTATCCTTGTGCTGAATAGGAAAGTATCCTTTTATTATTAATCTACTCAATTAAGGCACACACTTTTACCTATGTTGTAAGAACCAGGCCGGGAAGCAATCTGGATAAATGACCGGGTCACGGGTCAACCCGGTCTATGATGGAAAAACCCAGTCAACTATATACATAATTTTATAATAATAAACATATATTAATATTTATAAAAAATTACAAATAATTTCTTTCAGTGTAATAAAATAATTATTATTACACTTAGTAAGCAGTTTTATTATATGCTAAAAGAACTGAGGAACATCTGTTCAGGAAAGAACATATATTTACTATGTTGAGGAAAATCCACTAACATATACGGAGTAAATTTTTGTTTAGGAAAGAACCATCAAAAAACTAAAAGCAAAGATATGACTACGTTTAAGGAGCACCCACTAACAAAAGAATTTAGCAGTACGTTGGATTGCCAGGTTCCTTTCTCCGTCGCAGACGCGAGTTCGAATCCCAGCCTATACATTTTTTTTAAAAGCTCAGTTATCCAGAATCTTGCGGTTTCTCCGGGTTCAAGGCTGTTCAGGTTATGCTGGGCCAAAACGGGCAACCGGGTTATTCTGGTTTTCATTACATTTACGGGTTACAAAGTGACTGAACCGGGTTAGGTGGCGGTTTACCGGTTTCCGGGCTGACCCAACCGGTCCGGTTTCTTTTACATGCTACGAATTATGAGTGCTCACATATTAGAGTAAGACACTTTCCGCTTGATCCAAGAATGTTTATTTAAAAACTAAAGTTTTTCTTTTGAAACCACTTCTTGGGCACAGAAATAAGTCCTTGAAAGATGGTGTTTACAAAAATCTATTTTTTTTTTGGAAGGGTGGAGGGGGGACCTTAATCCGTGTCTCCTCTAGTGCAGCAGTATGACGAACGGCCTCAACACTTTGTAATTGCCCATCATTAATCTCTACATGAGCTGGTTGTGCAAACTTGGATTCCCATGCCTCTTTATCTTCTACTGAAGCATTAACAGATGAAGACCTGTTTGTTTTCACTCCAGCAGCACTGAAAATTAAAGTAAAAGAACCTGCCGATTAATGCTCTGTTGTGGGGGTGAAAAGAGAAGAGTAACAATTTTCACCACATTAATTACTGAAAAAAAGTTTTTTCCCATCCATGTAAAGTTAAATTAACCTTTTTATCTTTCCAATAGACAAAAAAGAATTTATCCTATATAAGTTGATATAGACGTGGGGAAACAGGGGTAGCTTAAACTGGGTGAATGTGTAAAGCACAGTTTACATAAGTTGATAGACGTGGGCTACACATTACATAATAGTTACATAATGTGGAACCGCACGGCCACAGTGAGATTTATCCTTGGTATAGTCATTGTTTTCAAACTGATTTGCATGCCCCTTGGTGTCTGTTTGGATATAGCCATATAGGGTAGCTTTGGAGGGCTTTATCTATATCTGTATGAATTGAATTGAATTGAATTTCCTAAAAATGAGAAAAATGATTTAATGCAATCCCGTAAAAATTTAATCTTTTAATTTTTGTTAAATAAAAAATACATATCAAGATTTCCTAACATTGAATTTACTAAAAATGAATGAAAAATGATAAAATGCAATCACATAAAAATTTAATCTTTCAATATTTGCTAAATCTCAAATATATACCAACATCCAAGGGTCAAAGATTTTCCTCCAAACCTACCATTCAAACAACCCATTAATGTCATTTGTCATTAGCAGGCTGATACTTAAGCAAGGCAACTGAGAGTGATGGAGAAGCAAATATTACCTTTTTGGTCGACGGAGATTGTATCTGCTTTGACCAGGAGTCTGCGCAGGAGGAACGGCCTTTTGCCTCCTCTTCCTATGACTACCGCCTGTTACACTATCTGAGTTTCCTTCACTACCATCATCTCCTTGCTCACTTGCTGTTCCATGTGATATGTGAACACGACCACGTTTTCTGGCATTCCTAGCAGTTCCTATGCCTACAAGGTCGGATTCCCTCTCACTTTCCTCATAGGTATTAATAGAGATCCCTACACTCCCACTTGCCTTACCAGAGCCAGTTATTCTACCCCTGTTTCCCCCTCTTGTCACAGCTCTATGCTTTTTCCCAGTTTTCACGTTAGAATTTCCAGACTCTTCCACAGTATCTTCAATAACATCATCACCCCTCAAAGGAGGCATATTTGGTTGTCTTTCCTCGATAAGCTTAGGTGGCGGGGATAAATCATCCATCATATCTTTAAGTTCACGAGATTCAATTTTCTTACCTGGAGAAAATGCAAGAATCTTTGAGGTGCATTTTCGAAGCCATGAGAAGGTCCCACCTGAGACTGAAGCTCCAACGCCAGGGGATGACAATTCATTAGCAGGCCTTCCAGGTGTCATCTCTTGGTTGACCTCCCTAAGATAATCTTGGGCAATACTAGGCAGAGGAGGGGATTCAAAATTTTCTACTTTGGCCAATGACTGGAGACGAGAAAGCTCAAACTCACGGATACACTCTCCGCAGGAGGTGCAACTTTCCTGCTTTTTGACGAATTCCATGAACTGATCCCTTTCCTTGAGGAACTCTGTCCTCTGTGTCTTTAATTTATGACTTAAGGCAACTAATTCTTCAATGTCGCTTCGCATCTCTAATTGTTGTACTTCAAGATGTTTCTTGTTGGCAGATGTTTCCTGTTTCTCTTTCTCTATTCTGGATCTCTCCAATTTCAGCTCTTCCTTATCTCTTCTAGCCACTTCCGTTAGAAACTTAATATTATTGAGTTCTCTCTCTCTCTTCTCTTCGAATTCTTTCTCTTTTTCAAGCAATCCAGACTCCGTCTCTTCCTGCTTCTTCTGCATATCAGCCTCGAGCTTGGTTGTACGCTGTTCGAAATCATGAAGCAGTTGGCTTCTCTCGTTTCGCAGTTTTTCTTCTAAAATCGCTCTTTCATGCTCCATTGTAGCTGAAAATGATTCCCTGGCTACTTTAAGTGCTTCCAACTCGCTGTTAACATGGTTTTCGGTTTCAATTCTCTCCTTGATCAACTTTTCCTCTTCAGAGTGTTTTAGCTTTTCAAAGTTCCGTTTTCGTTCATCTATGTCCTCCAATTGTTTATTAATATCACTTCTTTTCTCCTCCAACTCATCCCATTCTTTTTCAAATTTCTCTCTTTCCCGCTTCAAATCCTCAGTTTCTTTCAAAAGCATTTCTTGTTGGAGTCTACATTTGTCTGTCTCTTCCTTCAACTCTGATTGCAGGTGAGTAAGTTCCAATCTGTCAGCTTCTGTTACTTTAAGCTTCTCCATGTCTTTATTTAGCTTTAGCTGGTTCTTTTCAATGTCCGTCCTTATTCTTTCAAGTTCGTCCCTAAGAGCAATTAATTCATTCTTGTCTAAGAGAATTTGCTTCCTTTCCTTCTCCAAGTTTTTCTCCTCAGCTTTTACAAGCTTTTCCCTTTCCTTCATAGCTTTAACTTTTGTTTCAAAATCCTTTTCTCTCTCTTTCACTTTCTCTGATTTCTTTTCAACTGCCACTTCTCGTTTCTTGACTTTTTCTTCCATGTGAAAAACATCGGCTTCTTTCTTTTCAAGTTCTAGCACTTTGCTTTTCAGTTCTTCATCGATGGATTCCCTTCTCTGGTTCATTTCCAGGATAAACTCTTCTTCCTTGGCAGCCAGGATCGCCTTGTGTTCATCTACAAGCTTTTGGATATCCTCCTGCACAATGAGGTAGTCAGAATTTAAATATTAAAGCATTACTATCATTGTATGGACTCAACCTCTTCAAGGCAATTCGACACAACTTTACTTTTTTTGCACCAACACAAAACTAGAAGATGAGGACGGCACTCAGGAGGATGAAGACTGACGACCAATGTAACAGCAAGAAATAAAAATAATAATAAACAAATTGAAATTGAAGAAGAAGATTTAACATTTAAATTGAAATTTGATAAAACATCAAAATCATTATTGCCGAAGAATAGAGATCAGGAGTACAATCCTTCATAATGCTACTGCAACTTGACCAAAACTATAAAAAAGAATATGAATGGATAGGGAAATCACTTTCTCTTTAACATTCAGTTTTTCCTCCAGTTCATGTAATGCTTTCTCTTTTAGATCGAAGCTTTTTTTCACATCATCGATTTCCTGCATCAAGATAGAAAAAAGAGGAAAAAATAAGACTTAAACAAAAGCTAATAAAGAATTTACCAACAGATATAAACAAAATTAAAACATGCCTTCTCCTTCATACTAAGACTTGCAAGCCGGCTGCTAATGTCTTCTTCTTTCTCTTTCAGAGCAGCGTATGATGCATCAATTTTTTTCTGAGAACTTTCAAGTTCAGTCTGCTTTTGCATCATAATCTTATCAGCGTCATTTGCTCTCTGTTCTCTTTGGTTTAACAGCCTCCGGCTCTCAGCAAGCCTCTCTTCACCCTCTTGTAGTTTTCTTTCCCACTCTCTCAAGTCTTCCCTTTGCTTAGACAAAGTTCTCTCGTGAGATTCACGCCTGGCCATAACATTGAAATGAGCGTAAAAAATGTTTCAAATGGAGGCGTTAACATTCACAGTATAAGGGTCCATATGAACCCATGAAATGCTAGGAAAACAAATAGGGAGGCGAATAAATGTGTGGAATTAAAAGAGAATAAATGTTGGAAAAAATAAAAGAAATGGTTCAATCTCAATACATCAATTTAGCTATTACTTCAAACTCATTTGTGTATTTACTTTTGATATATAGTTTTGGTTCAAATAAGAACATGATCTTATGAGAGAAATGAGAACCAATATGGACCGTTAGATTTGATTTAAGTGAAATTCAATGTGCATTAGATGAAACTGTAATGTGCATTAGGTGAAATTGAAATGTGCAGCACAAATGGTACGATACAGTGACATTATGTGAAGCTGAATTGTGCATTACGTGAAATTGAAATGTGCACTAGGTGAAACTGAAATGTGCTGAAATAAAAGGTACGATGTGATGTTATTTACGTACCTTTTATTTTGCACATTTGAGTTTCACCTCATGCATACTTGAGTTTAATTTTTTATTCTGCACATTTCAATATCATCTGATGCACATTTCAGTTTCACCAAATGCACAATCCAGATCCACATAATACAATCCAACGGTCCAGATTCGTTCTCATTTCTCTCCTGGGAACCCGTTCTTACTGGAACCGCTCCCTATATACACACACACACACGAAAATTCTCAGGTCCGAACGTTCAGACCTGAGGCGCCGTCCGAACACCGCCGTTCGGGGCAGTTCCCGATGGAATTTTTTTATGAAATTTTTATGGTATGTTCTTCATTAAGTCTATTTTATCCATAAAAATTTCAGCTCAAAATTCGACCAGGAAGGCCGTCAAATAATTTTTGGAAGTTGACTGCATTTTTCTATGTATAATTTTGAGCAGTTAACTTCCAAAAATTATTTGACGGCCTTCCCGATCGAATTTTGAGCTGAAATTTTTTGTGGATAAACTAGACTTGATGAAGAACATACCATAAAAATTTCATCGAAAAATTCCACCAGGAACCGCCCCAAACGGCGGTGTTCGGACGGCGTTCGGACCAAAACCTGCTGGACAGGAGAATGACTCTCTCTCTCTCTCTCTCTCTCTCTCTATATATATATATATATATATATATATAAACTAGATATATAAAACATGTGTTAATTTTTTAAAAGTTTAACCCTATTAGATTCTTGTTCGCATTTTTCACGTTAAAACCAAAGATAAAAAGTTGTTTTCCTCCGCATCTGTTCTTGTTCCCCTACCATTGACTGCATTCCGAACATAGACTAAAAGCTTACTCGATGTTGAAAGAGGAGCGTTCTCTTCGGAGTGCATTTTCTTGAGTCTTTAGCTCATTCAATTTTCTTTCAACTTCTGAACTCTTTCTACTAGCTTCAGCAAGCTTAGCATCAGCTGTGTGGAGTTTGGATTCCACCTCTAGAGATTTCTCTTCCACACTTGCCACAAGAGCATTTGCCTCAGCCAGTTTTGAATCAGCTGTGAACTTAATTTCAGCATATTCTGAGCGCATCTCATGCAAAGCCTTCTCTAACTGCATAAAGCAACAAAATCAAAAGTTCTTTCAAAGGGGAAATATCTAATACGACAGTGATGTGCTAATAAACAAAATAAATAACAAGTCATACGTCAATTACACACTGTTTCTCAACACCCAATGCCTTCCTTAAACTGTCTTCACGCTTCTCTGCTTCAGATGTTGCAATAGCGTTAGCTTCTTGTTCTCTTTTGTGGAGATCATTTGCTTCTTCTAAAGATTGTTTGGCCTCTTCGTACTTGGTGGTCCACTCCTTCTTTTCAATCAATAGTAGCCCCATATTATATTGGTACTCGAAGAGCTACAAAGTTTAAACAACATTCAACCAAATCAACGTGGAATTCCAAAATTTATAAGCATGTTAGGTCTGCCATATGGATTGGGTCTGGATAAACAAGACAAGTATGTCCATTAGTTTAGTGTGTCAAATATCAATACATAATAGCAAAACCCAAACCAAAATGAGTTTGGCTTTAATTCAACAATCACCTCTCCAACCCGTTTTAAACCAATCCTACCCAAAAGGCCAAAACTGATAAAAAAAACAAAGTGAACCCAAAATGGAAGCCCCTGCTTCCACCTAACTTCTACAATTCTTGAAATAACTTTTCCTCGCGTAACTCTTCTTTAAAAAAAGGAACATTAACACTCCTTTAAACTACTATAATTTTTTTTAGAATGGACGATCTAGTCACTAGTAAACCAAGTTCAGAGGAAGAACATGAAATGCTTAAAAAGCCAGCAGAAATGAAAGAAAAAAAAAGAATGCAAATGTGTTATACTAACTCATTTAATGATTTTATGAGCACCCAGGAGAAAAAGAAATAATTAACAATACAATGTGCACAAATATGCTACAGACGTGGGGTGGGAATAGTTTATTAACCTCGTTTTCAAGCCTTGCAACCTTCTCATGAAGGTTGACGGATCCATTTTCTTCTCCATTCAGACCTCTTGCAGACTTTTCTAAAAAGGAGAGGCCTTTTCCCTTGTCGTTGATCTTCATAGCCGGCTCGCTCTTCGGCGTGAGCGACCACCCGGTCCACAATTTCCTTGTCGGCGTAGACATCAGATGAATTCCCCTTTCAAGAACTTAAAAAGCACACAGATCGCGGCCTCAACTTGGTAAGAGACAAACTTTTACTGCAACAACATGAGATTGCATTACCCAAACCCTAATCCTAAGGGAAAGGAATTTGGGAAATCGTCACCGGACGTGAACAGAGTTCCCAAATTCCGGCGAATGGAGCTGTAAAATCCGGTAACTTTCTCTCACTAGTTTTCCTCTCTTCCCAAACTTCACACCATTCTCTCTCCTCAACTTTACAGAGCACGTTTCGTGGTCTGCGCGGATTCCTCACATTCTTTCCTTTTTCCTTTTAAATTACTGGCATGGAGTATATTATTTTATTAAATTACTTTTTTGGAGTTTTTTCAAAACGTGTACTTACGGTAAGAATATGGAAATTGCCCTAAATAGGAGTAAATAAGTTTCCAAATTTCAAAATATGATTATTAGAGCATCTCCAATGCTACAATGTGCACGGTGCACATGTGGCATGAGAGAGATAGACACAAAATATTGATTTTATGACGTTTCTTTCTCATTCTTTTCACGGTTTTATGTGTTTTTGGTAAGTTTTTGTCTGCAATATCAACTACAATGTCTACATCTAGACATTTTGCTTGACATTGTGAAGAAAAACTTACCAAAATAATGTAAGATCCTTCAAATAAGGAGAGAAATATTCTGTTTATTGTTTTTTAATTGTTTATTTCTCATGCCACGTATGCACCGTTAACGTTTTAGCATTGGAGATGCTCTTATGTTTTTTCTTCCAGAAATATGAGTTATTACTGTAATGTATGAAAAATACTGCTATGATTGAAAATTATTGTCATTAATTATAATAAATAATGCCATATAAATGCACTGTACTGTAATTATTTGACAGTCACGCCTACAAGATGACAATAAATACTGACATGTTAGTCCTATTTCGACAATAAAAACATAGTAGTTTTATTTTGGGAAATCTCCCTAAAGAATAAGGCTTTTTACTTGAATATTACTAAATTAAAGTCAATTTCCATAAAAGTGATCATTTTTATAAAAGGACAAAATTGTGACTAAGAAGGTCACTTATATGGAAAAACATGACGTCACTTCTTTTTTATGTCACTTCCAGATTTTTTTGTCACTATTGTGTGTCAGTACTAGATTTTTATGTCACTTTTGAAGGTCACTATAACCGTCGGAAAATTTTCCGACAACCTTTTCCGGCGAAATTGTACTCCACCACCAGTGCCCCTGTCGATCATATTTTTTCGTGTGACTACGTATTTTAATGTCACTTACGACATACATATGTCACTGCCGTCGGGAAACATGTCACTATGATTGTTTCCGATGATTGAAATTGCGACCAATACCACGGCCAATCAACCGACACCCCCGACTCCACACTCGCACTTGGCCCCCCCACACACTCGACATCCACCACCGTTAACGGCCGCCGCCCTAACTATTACCACATCGGCCACTCCCTAGCCCACCAGCTCCCTTCCCAGCCCCACCTCAACCCACCAACTCCCAGTCCAATCCCACCTCAACCCACCAGCCCCCTATCTAGCCCCACCACAAGCTACCGGCCCCCAACCCCCTCTTCAGCCTACCAGCCCCCTCCCCAGCCCCCTTCTTCGATCCCCTCGTCACCCCTCAGCCCCCAGCTCCCCTTCCGAGCAATCGCCGCGCAGCCCACCAGCATCCTCATAGCCCGCATCTCAACCCCTCCGATCTGATTCCTCTCACTGCCGGATCCACAATTGAAACACATCATCGTTTCACCATCACTGAAAGAGAAGAAGAAAGAAGGCAAAGAAAAGTGAAGATGGTAAGTACGTGAGGTGTGCATCGACTGGATCGAAGCAGATTGACAATGCAGAGATGATCGGAGGAGGCAACGGTGATGCAGAGATATCTGGCGGGCGGGCGGGTGGCACTGCAGAGATTACTGGCGGCGATGTCAAGGCGTGTGGACGAAGAAGGTGAGGAGCTGCTCGATAGATCCAAGGCAGAGATGACACTGAAGGTGATGAGTCGCTAGCATATCCAAGGCTCTCAAACGACGATGCGGAAGTCTGGAAGTGCGGAACTTAGAGTGGTCATGTTTTTGTCAATATGAGATTTAGTCATATTTGTGTCCGCACAAACTCCAGAAGTAGTATTGGGGTCATTATTTCTAAAGAATAATCAAAGCAACTTATAAACAAATAATCGACATCATCAAAACTCAAAAACTTTAGAACGTGAGAAAATAATAGAAAAATTACATAAAATACCTCTATATTTTTAAAAGACAAAAATATGATTAGTCTTTTTTAATAAAATGTCAGTTATGTGATATTTAAATGATTTGAATTTTCTGTAATTCTAATCCTATCAAGTGCAGGTGATAACCACCAAAATGCCATCCTTGAAATGTCCTTCATTTTTCGTAAAATAGTTTTTTTGCTGGATTTTCCGTAAATTTATTAAAAATATTTTTTAACAATCATAATGACATGTTCCACGATAGTCACTTTAATGATATAAAAATGCTAATGACGGTACTGCAATACCAGTATCGGTATTGACATGTTTCACGACGATAGTAACATTTTTATCATTTTTACTTATATATTTTTTAACAGTACCATTAATATATTTATTTTAAAGTATAAATACTTTTTAATAGGGAAAACTATCAAATAGGTTCTCAAACTTTCATAAAAAAATCAATTAAGTCCTTCTATAGGAGATTCTGTCCGGTCGTCACGATTTGGGGTGGTTCCCGGTGGAATTTTTTGATGAAATTTTTTGAGCATCTTATTCATCAAGTCTAGTTTACTCATACCAAATTTAAGTTAAAAATTTAATCGGGAGAGCATTCAAATTAATTTGAGAACGCAAAAATGCGCAGTTATCTTCAAGAATTAATTTGAATGTGTTCCCGATTGAATTTTTAGCTGAAATTTGGTATGAGTAAACTAGACTTGGTGAATACGATGCTAAAAAAAATTCATCAAAAAATTCCACCGGGAACTGCCTCAAATCGCGACGGCCAGACAGAACCTCCTATAGAAGGACTTAATAAATTTTTTATGAAAATTCGAGGACCTATTTGACAATTTTCCCTTTTTTTAATATTGAATAGATATCATATGATCATCAGAATAAAGATGTAATTATTATATCAAAATAAATTCCATTACATATTTACATATTATCCATTGCTAATTTAGAGAAAGCTTAATAAAGTACACACTATAAAAAAGTGGCGCATACTTAATTTTAACGGCTGATCGTGAAATTAATTTTCTTTTGATAGGAGTAATACATAAGGTAGTGGTAATAATTAGACAGCACTATCTAAACATACTCCCTCCGTCCCGAAAAGGTTTACCAAATTTTCTTTTTTGAATGTCTCAAAAAGATTTGTCATTTTCATTTAAAGTAAGGAATATGTGGTTAAAGTTATTTCTCTCTCCTCTGCACAAATTTCAATCACACAATTTTTACTTTATTAATCCACGTGAAAGTCAAAGTTGGTGAACCTTTTCGAGATGGAGGGAGTATTTATTATCCGTAAAATATAGGGAGTATATATAATCTCGAAATTAGTTTCAATATAATACTACATATCTGAAATTGTGACCATTCGGCTAATATTATTATTATTATTCCATTCATTAATTTATCCTTTTCTTCTTTTACAATTATTCAGTTTTTGCACCACCAAGTCTGACAAGAATTTTGTTTTTCATGACTTGACTGTCTTACCCTTGCTGTAACCGAGATTTCTTCCCGTTGAGCAGGGTAGTTTGGGGGTTCCGTTAGGGCGGTGTCAACACCACGTGCGTGTTTCTGACGGAGTGACAAAATTACCCCCAGAAGGTCGTTATGATGCGGTTTTAGGAGGGTGAGCGTAATTTATGAAAAACGTGGGGGGTTTGATAGGAATAATGGTTCACTGAAATGCCAAGGTGTTGATAGGCTGTACTTGGGGAGCGTGTGGGGTACCATGCAACTCATCGCTCAGAGTTAAATTCAATTTATAATTTTGATTGATGATTAGCTTCGCACTGGTTTTTCTTTCCAACCGTTCTTTCATGTCCAAGTTATCTCTACACAACTTTTGCTTCATCAAGAAATCGGTTCAATCGGTTAATTCTACCCAAATTTATGAAGTTCTGACTGAAATGACTGTATTGGTTGATTCTGATGATTTATGAAGGAAACAATTAAAATATATTTTATTAATAAAATAAATAAAAAGTTAAATGAAAAATAGCTAAAATAGTCATCTATAGTAATTTCAGACAATACAGCCATAAAAGTAACTTCAACCTTACATTTTCTTATTATTACACAATTCAGCGCGCGGAATCAAAAATTACGTGTTTGGTTAAAAAGTTGGCTGATAAGCCAAAAAACAGAGTCACCAAACATGCTCTCAATGAAACAATATCTATGGTACACATGTCTTAAAACTTTACATATTTTGTTTGCAAAAAAAAACTTTACATGTCCTTTTAAGTTGTACCATTTTTTTTTTACTTTCTCTTTTAATCGATTAATTTGAGATTTTTATTATTTCTCTCATATCTGCATGCATCTAAATATACAAATTTAAATTTATTACTAAGTATTTTTTGTGCTGATTAAAATTGACAAAGTTTTAAAGGACCAAAGTAATAAAAAATTTGCTTTCTTCTAAAATGAGGGGCACTTGACCATTTACAAAAACACGTACCAATAACCAATTAATAAGTACAAAAGAAATTTTTCTTATCATTTATAAGGAGACATCTATCTGATAGAGTATATCTCCTAAATTCTAGAGAGAAGTGAGAGCTAGAGAGAGAAGTGCAACAATATGCTTCAATAGAATGATTTTGTAACCCCTATAACTACTCCCAAGGGGAGTATTTATAGAGAAAATTAGGGTTGGGCTCCCAAGCCTTGGGCTTGGGAGGCCCATTTACAACTGGACCGCTACTGGGCCGAATACAAAGCCTCTAATGGGTTGTACAAATGAGTAAGTATAGGATCCGATTCTGGGAGGTCTTCGGGGCCGACGAGGGCGTGGCCGACGAGGGCACGGCCGACGAGGGCACGGCCGACGAGGGCACCCGGTTTCCTTGGACTCAGGACCATAATCCGAGTTGGCTCCTTTTCGGCCGACGAGGGCGCCACTCTGTTGTCTTGTGCTTTCTGTTCTTCCGAGTATGTGGGTCCTGGGGCTCAGACCCATATACTCCATCAGGAGTCCCCCACTCTCTAAGCTGAGACGTAGACGAAGTGAAGGAGAGTAGATTTCTGTGCTTTGTTGCTTTT